TCATTTGAACATTGGTGGAAAAATAATAATAATAATAATAATAATAATAATAATAATAATAATAACATAATTGCATCCACTTGTAGCAGCAGGGTCCCGCACAGAGCTGCTGTACAACTCTGCAGCTACAGAAATGTTCTGGGGTGTCCGGCTGTTTGATGGCTGACTGCAGTTTCTTGATCTGTTAGTTGGAGGTGGAATTAGAAAAACACTGGTCAGGTTTAGTTGATGTTTTGCCTTTCAAAAGCTCTCCACCTGATTGGATTGACATGAGTGCATGAATGGGTTTAACATCACGAGTGGTGTCTTTTTTAAATCTCGTGTTGATCTAAATGTTGGTCAAGACGTCTCATGGCCCTGATGTGACCAAAAAGTTTTTACTCTTTCTAGGTAGCAGGTCAAAAGACGTCTAGACTTGGTTCTTGCTTCAGCCAAGCCCTGCCTACTTGTGACCCCCTCCTGTTGGGTTGCACATCTGTGAGCTATGAGCAGTGAATTAGAGTTGTCGGATTGCTTCATTTTAAGAGGTAAAACTGCCGCATTTGAGAAAAGTCGGAAAAAAGTAAAGACAGTTTTGCATAGCAGAAATGTTTCCTATCATGTTTGTCGTCTTGTGACCTCTCCGATTAATCATTAGAACCCTAAGGGAACCAGACCCACAGGTTGGAAAACACATGTCCAGAAGTCTTGATAAACATTTATTGGAAAAAATTAACTTTTGAACGTCAAGGTTTGGTCCCTCTAGGATTGTGCGACTGTTTTTAGGATTGTTGTGGCCTAAAGTCTTGCTCAAGCATGAATCGTGCAGTGAAGAGCAGGAAAAGCCAAATATTACAGCTGTAGAAATATAAAAAAGGAAAGGTATGAAGACGAGAACGGTGCAGCTGTGTGATAGAGAGGAAGCATGATAAGAAGAGGAGAGGAAGGTGACGTGAGGGACAGGACTGGAACGAAAGGAAGAAGAAAAGGTTGTTTAGGGATGGGAGGAAAGGGCAGGAGGAGGAGAGCTGCTCTTTGGGGTCTTTGAAAGCAGCAGGTCCCGGCTGCTAGCTTGACCCCATTTAGGAGGAGCGAGGGACACGGAGGAGAAGTGTGAGGCAGGAAGAGAGAGGGCGAGACACTCCTCAGCCCTGCACTTAAAGGCCCTCCCCAGGAAGTCCTCATTCTTCCCCCGAGCCCGACACCCCCCACCAACAGCAGAGAAGATGGAGGAAAAAGCCCTCATTTAAGATGAGTGGAGCAGAGAGAGGACCCCCATCCTCCTCTGAGGGGGGCCCTCATATCAAAACTTTCCCTCAGCAGGATGGAGAGAAATGTCAGAGAGAAGGAAAGGTTTAGTATCTTTTATCATTTGATCTGGATATTGATTTGTGTGTGCAAAGCTTGTCATCAACCCCTTTGACCTTTTCAACATTTTGTGATGTTGAATTCAAAATCGAGCGAACTATTGTTTGTCACTGATCGACATGATATACATTCAAATAACTCAAGTCGTACAGCAGAAAATAAGGGTTTCAGATCAGTGTAAGTCAATGTAGCCAAGTATATTTACTCAGGTACTTGAGAACATTTATTTTGTGGCCTTTATTCCTCTACTGAACCACATTTTAGAGGAGCATTTGTACATTTGCTTTAATACGTCTGTACTTTTACTTAACTAGGATTTTTCATGTGGCGGTATCACTGCTGTGACTTAAAAGATCTGAGTATTTCTTCTGTCGCTGCATTTTGGTGCCTAAATTTTGATTCTGTCAGCATTTCTCTTGTACCTGTGTGCTTGTATGTGCTCATTACACAGTGTTACCTTCGTGTTTTCCTAGTTCTGGCCACTGTACTATTAGTCATGACATTTAACTTGCCAGTTTCATTGTAGAGACTCAGACACTACAGTCAGCTTTAGGTTGAGTTCAGATAACTGGTTCCAGTTTAGGTATATTATCATATAGGTATGAAATAGTTCAGTAGTATTGTTTCTCCATGTCTGTGCTATAACGTTGTGTTGTGTTTTTGTAGCTGCAGTAATTGTAGTTGTTTATATAGTGGCATTTTTCTCACAACTTTACTTTATGGGCACTTAAAATAGGTTAAAAATGTTCAAGTCTGTCTCAAAACAACTGTCTGATGATACGAACATTGTTCTATGACAGTTCTTGTTGCTGTAATCACTCCTGTTTATCCTGGACATTAAATGACTCCTAATAGAAAAGCCATTTTCACTGTTGACATGGAGACAGTGAAAATGTGTTTGTGGCTTTAGACGTCAGTGTGTGTCGTTATGAGTCATTACAAAAGTGGTGATGTTTCATGCAGTGGCTGACGTAACAAAAATAGTGCTGGTTCTAACCTTACTAACAGGACTTTTTACATGTTTACACATCAGTGATCAGTTACTCTTCGACAATACTGAGGAACAGTATGGTAGCTTATTTTCAGGCTTCTGATTGGCCAACATCTGCCTCTGCTTCAGGATTGCAGTTATGTTGTCTCCTGTTGGTTTGGTATGCTCTTGACAACACTGTAGTTGTGTTTTTGTGGTTTCACTTTGACAGAGATTTTTCTATAACAGTGTGTGTGGACAGGATTTTTTGAGAATGAAAACCCAGTTTTCAAAATACTGGTCCATGTGTGGACCAGGCCACAGACAAATCAAGCTGGTATCTCCTAAGTAGGGCTGTAGTGGTACACTGTGATTTACAAGTTGATGACTGTGAACCTGTCTTTTAAAATGTCAGGACAACAGGTGGATGTTGTTCTTCAAAAAAAGTCTTTCTGACTGTGTTGTCATGTTCAGCTCACAGAACTTTCTGCCCTACACAATCATTTTCAGATGTGTCAGTTAAAATCAGACATGATGGTGCTGCTGGTGGTGCTGGGGGTGGAGTGGGATTAGCTGGTCTTGGCCACTCACACCAATGACACACACACAACTACAATTCTGCCAGTGTTGCACAACAGCAGAGAAAACAGCTGACTGTCAACTCGAGAGGTTCAACGTGCTGGGCTGACACCTCTGTGTGTGTGTGTGTGTGTGTGTGTGTGTATGTGTGAGTGTGAGAGAGAGAGAGAGAGGGAGAGAGAGAGAGAGAGAGAGAGAGAGTGAGAGTGAGAGACTTGTAAATGCTCCCAGCCAAGCAGACACGACTAACATTGTTATTAAATCATTTTCAAAGTAAAATAGAGCTTAGACATGGACAAAGAGGTCTCACTGTGCTGAGGTCCGTGTGTGTTATGTGTATATGTTTGCATTATTATAATGTGGTCATTGTTATTGTGTGTGTGTGTGTGTGTGTGTGTTTGCATTGGCTGGGACTGGCTGCTCCCTCAGAGGGACTATCATTGCTGGTAATCCTCTTCATGGTCCACTAATCTGTTTTCGCCGGGGTCACTCCATCGCAGTCCTTCCCTCTCTCCGTCCTCTCTCCTTTCCTTTTTCTTTTCACAGCTCCTCAGTGGGGTTCTCCCGTGTCTCTTTACCTCATCCTGCAAAGGTCAATCCTTCATTCTTTCCTCCGTCTCACCATGTTTCCCTCCATCCTTCCTCCCCCTCCTCTCTGGCTGCCCTTCTCCCTTTAATAACACTAGTCTTGTTACACAGAGTATCAAAGCTTTCATGTTTACCTCCTGTCCATCAGAAAATCAAACTCATAATGAGAGATTAGGCATCTTCTCTCCTCCACATCTACCCTTTCCTCCACATCACTGGTTAAGTTATGGACACTGATACCAACCTCTTTTAGGCTAGCTGGCTTCACCCAGTCTTGATGCTAAGCTAGGCTAACCACGTCCAGGCTGCAGCTTTGTACTCTTGGAGGGAAAAAAGGGAATTCCCCAATCTGTTACATCCATATTTTAGAATTGACCAATTGTGTGGCAGAATTGACACAATCTATGAAATTGATGTATCAGCTCCTTCCTCCCCCCTCCGTCTTCTCTCATTCTCTTGTATCCTCATATCCAATCATCCCCTCATCCTTTTTAACCCTTCAGCCTACCTCTGCTCTCACCACCAACAAAACCACAATCAGATTTCTTCATTTCCTCCCACCTCCGACACACACACACACACACACACACACACACACACACACACACACGTAAACAGGGGAACTCAAACACGTGGTCTAATCATATTTCCTCCTATCTAGAAGCAATCAGTGATAGTGTTGGCTGCTTGCGAGCACTTTGACAATACTGGCAGAGAGGGAGACTGCACATTCTCTAATTAAATTAAATGTATGTGCTGGTGTGTCAGTGTGTGTCACACACACACACTGACACACCAGCACATACATTTAATTTGTGTGTTTGGGGGGCTTTGATTAGGGAGAGGGAGGTCCAAATAAAATGCAGCCGCTGCATCATCACTGCTTGACCCGCCTGTAGCAGATGGAAGGATGATGGGAAACAAAGGTTTGATGTGAAGAGCTCAGCTGAGAGTATCAAAGGTCAGAGCAGGATGCTGATCAGTGCTGCTGTGCGCTAATATATCATCAGTCATTGTTTTCAATCATCTGTTTTAGCACAGCGTTTCTTAGACATATCATTATATTTTAGTCATTACCAGTCCACGTCAATACTTTACTCTTTAGTAGCTTACATTGAATACATTTCTCAGCTACTGCGTCAAACTGCGCTCTGCTGACAAGCATCTGTCAGGTTAGGAATGACAACTTGTAGAAAGCTGATTGTATAGCGACTTGTGGCACCTTGTGAGTGTCGCAGGTATTACTTTGTGTCATCAGTGCCAGTGCTGTTAGCTACAGTTAGCGATTTTGATGGACATCTCGGCAGTTTAATGTGGAAGTGAGACGTAAAGGATCTTTTGTTTGATATGTGCCCTTCTCCTGTGCAGCCCTCAATCACATGCTGGTTCCTTAAAGTTGCACTCGGTCATCATAACTTTGAGAAGTGAGTGTCTACAGGCTATGTCTGTTATTGGAGCAGGAGACACCTTAAATGTCTTCAAAGTGTTGGTAAATATGTTTCTGTTTTCTGTCCAGACTGATGAATGCCCTCAGGGACTTGAAGAGCCTGGAAGAGACAATGGATCGCATGGAACTAAAAATTTGGTAATTAATCAATTTATTTGATTTCTAACTTAGCACACAGCCTCCCTTCTGTTTCTATATCAGTGGTTCTAGTATTTGGAATAGTAGTTGTTGTTGTAGTATTTGTGGTAGTAACAGTAATGGTAGAATGATATGAAAAAGTAATTTAAAAAGGTCATAGTGTCATATGTCATGGTATTGTACCAAGGTTCCTGCAGCTCGAGGCGAGTTAGATTCAAGACTTTTTCAGGCTTTTTTTTTTTTGACACTCAGAATGAAACTTAAGACCAGTTTTACAAAAACCAAACTTGAGAAGAAGGGAAAAAACATGAACTATCACCAGATACCTAGGGTTAGGGCCAATTTTGCCCAAACTGATTGTAGGCATACATTCAAATAGTGTTTGGAGATCTGTTGCTGCTGACCCTGGTGTTGATATAAGAGATACTTTAAGATTTTACAATTTAATATTACAAAAAACAATTCATAAAATCCTACTTCCCATGTCTTTACATGTTTAGGGCTTCTGAATGACTGATTTGTGATAATATAATATCAGTTACCTTATTTTCTGACTAATGAATTAAAAGACTTTTTATGGATGTACAGAAACCCTGAGTTTGCCTTCTAAAATGTCACCAAAAACAGCATTGTATGTCATAAATAATGTGAAAAGATTAATCCATAGAAAGGTCAGAAAAATACCATGTCATTCAGTACGTTTACATGCACAGTTTAATTCCACTTTTAATCGGAATGGAAGGCCATTCCGATTAAAAGTGGTCATGTAAACGGTCATTCCGATTGAAAAACGGTCATTCCGACTGAAAATTAAATCCAATTAAAGGGGGTGGTTTATTCCGTTCGTCATTCCGAATGAAAGAATTTTGTGTGCATGTATACACTCATTCCTCTTTAAGTTCATTCCGGTCTTTCTGCGCATGCTCGTTTCCTTGCCCTTCTGGCGCGATGACGTATATAGCGCGCATAGCAACAGGCTGCATAGCAACGGGCTGAGATAGAGCAGTCGGACTTGTTGCACTCACCGGTTTCCATTTGCCACAGTACGGTCTTCTACCTCCCTTCTTCGACCTTCTACCTCCCTTCTCCTCCTCAACAGATGAAGCATTAGCAGAACAAGGTTGTTGTCGTACTGCTGCTTCAACAATATAAGCAAAACAAGCCCAAAAAAGGCACTAAGAACGGCGTTGTCAAGCATCTTGTTATCCGGAGCGAGGACTACAGTGTTTTCTTCCGGTAAACGTAAACACGTAACATCCGCCCCGCCCCCTATCCAATCAGAAACCTTCCCTGCCCCAAACCTTGCACAGACCTGAATAAAGGTGATTGAACTGATCTCCCATGTAAACCCTCATTCGGAATGAATATTTCCCATGTAAACTACCTGGAAAGACTTTAATTCCGAATGATTTCATTCAGATTTATTTCATTCCGAATGAGAAGCCATCATAAGGTACTGTGAAACAATGTCATAAAAAATTGTCAGTATAGTATACTCTGGATCAAACTTGAATGAGTTAGTTTCATGTATTTATGCAGTTGTCACTGAACAACACATCAATAAATACTTATATTTTATCAAAATCCTGGTTTTCTGTGCCATAACCCCTGCATTTCATTTCCCTGAAACACCGGGAGGAGACACACGTCTCAACTCCCTTTTCCACCTCCGCAGTGGAGCTCTGGACACAGTGCCCTCACAATGGTGAGAACCAAACCCAGCTCTGGCGCCTTCCAAACCGGGAACTGACAGACCACGCCACCATGCCACGCACACTTGGAACTGTTCTCTTCGTGTATTTGTCTTCTTCATTTTGGGAATGATTGATGATGATGTCTCAAAATTCACTGCACCAAATGAGTATTGAACTCTCAGCCTCCAGTCTTCAGACCAGTCTCCTTCCTCTCTGAGCTATCTTATGAGATGCTTCACTGTGGTTTAATAGCATATGTCTTCTTCACTTTGGGTTGTTTGACTACAAAATTGAACATACCAACTAAGTATTGAACTCATGCTCTCTGGTCCACAGACCAGTGTTCTACCACGCTGTGCTATCTGATCAAACATGCTTCATAACTTTCCCATAGTGTATTTGTCTTCTTTACTTAGGGTGTTGGACCTCAAATTCACTACATTACATCGCAATTAAACGCACCCTCTCCAGTCTTCCAACAAATCTTCTATCACACTGAACTACCTGAGACATTTAGCCTCTGTTACTACTTGCTTCTCACATTGTGCAGATACTAGTTTTTCCAGAGGTTTTGTGTGTTTGAGTTGAGTGGAAGTGGTATGACCAAGTAGTTCAGGCTGTTAGTAGACTTCTCAGAAGGCAAAGGTTTTAAGGTCCAACACCCAAAGTGAAGAAGACAAATACACAACAGAAAAGTATCATAGTGTGTTGGATCAGATAGCACAGTGTGGTAGAAGACTTGGGCTGTAATCCAGAGGCTGAGAGTTCAATACTTAGCTGGTGTGGTGAATTTTGTCTAAGACGCAAAATGAAGAAGACAAATACGCGATTAGTCATTAACCATTTGTGTCATGAGATAGCTCAGAGAGGAAGGAGACTGGTCTGACGTCTGGAGGCTGAGAGTTCAATACTTAGCTGGTGCAGTGAATTTTGTCTAAGACACAAAATGAAGAAGACAAATACGCGATTAGTCATTAACCATTTGGGTCATGAGATAGCTCAGAGAGGAAGGAGACTGGTCTGAAGACTGAAGGTTGAGAGTTCAATACTCATTTGGTGCAGTGAATTTTGAGCATGATCATTCCCAAAATGAAGAAGACAAATACACAAAGAGAACAGTTCCAAGTGTGCGTGGCATGGTGGCGTGGTCTGTCAGTTCCCGGTTTGGAAGGCGCCAGAGCCGGGTTCGGTTCTCACCGTTGTGAGGGCACTGTGTCCAGAGCTTCACTGTGGAAAGGGAGTTGAGACGTGCGTCTCCTCCTGGTGTTTCGGGGAAGTGAAATGCAGGGGTTATGGCACAGAAAACCAGAATTTTACTTTATTTGAACTTATCATTGAGACCAAACAAAGCACTGTGACACTGCAGAACTGACACTCAGTAGAAGATGGCGACAATGATGTGAAGAAACTTGCTAGCTTCAGGTTGGTTCAGAAGCTGGGCACTTATCTGGGGAGAAAAGAAGAGAAGGATGACATCAGAATTGGCATTAAAGTCACATACATATCAGTGTACATACTAAAACTATAAAATCAATTAATATTACAGAAAAAAACTACAAAACAACAAGTTTTTGTAAGTGCTAACTTAGGGAGCCACAAAGGAAAGCTGTACCCTGTGGCATACTATCCACCTTATTCCTAGGGAGTGCTACTTGAGAAAAGATTATTGGTAAAACCTCTGGTGAGATAGCAGAAGTAGCAGTAAGCTAGTTAGTCCCATTGACTGTCTATTGTACTGGCTAATCATGGTGACTAACCACCAACAGCAGTTCTTCTTTTATGTAATTTGCCTTCAATTTAGCAAACACTGCTTTGTTTGTCAACAATCATTTAACTCAATTAACATTAACTAATTAGCATTGTCTAAATGTTCTTGTGGAGCTCTGGTACCTGTTGTACCTCTACATCTGTAATGTCACTAACAGCCAGACAAAGCTAAATTTGTGGATTCAACAACAGTGTTGAACACGCACCCCGAACAAAAACGGATTGTTCCTGTAACCATCGCCTAGGAATAGGTTGCCACCTGTTCTGTATAATATCGGATTGTCCCGTATTGAAAAAGTAATTAAAGTGTGCCTTACTGAATCAATATGGGACACAACTTGTCCAGTATTTTTGTGCCTACATTAGAAAATTGGCGGTCATAAAATACACTGAGCAGCATACCTTGAATTGTGTTATGTCACCTAGGCTGAGAATGTGTTACTGATTTGCTGTACGTCTTTCATATCATACAAAAATAAATGCCTGAAGTTATACATTTTACACTTTATTTACTATGACAGATTTTCTGCTAAATTCAGTATTATGTTTAATTCAGCAGAGCTCAGATTTAATAAATTAAGCAGTGATTAAACTGTGTAAACTGCGTCGTTAGCTGGGAAACATCACATTTATTCATGGAGCTAAAATTAATACTGAATTATGTTAAATGCTTGCCGAACGTTAGTGTCCGTTCATGAGTCACGTGAAATCATAAATCATCTTTTAGAAGGAGTAGATGCTAACAGTCAGCTAGCGCAGCTCTGTTAAGGGGAATGTTTTAAGGGGAATTGAGCCCATTTTCAAATTCATATATTTTATTCTCATTGTCTTAAGCCCAGTTCAGACCAATAATTCACTGGTGGTGTGTTCCACATGTTTTATTTCCCAATCATCCTAGGAAAGAGGATTAGTGTGCAGTTACCAATGGAGAACACTGGTTGCGGTTCAGCGCTGTAAGTCGCGGGATAATTCACGCAACATATCATGGGGGCTAGGAGAAAGGTGGATATTATAACAATTTTCAATTACTTTTTATCACTTTTTTAAATTAGAGTTTTATGGCATACTATACATGAGACTACTACAACCACTTATACATCAAGTACATGACAACTACAACATCAACTACTATGACTACAACTACTGGTACGAGTTAATTTCATAGGTACCAAATTTTGGTTTGGTGCGCTCCACTTGCCGTCTTCTCTGGGCCCTTCAAGTCCCTTTGTTCATTCAGCAGACTGGACATGAAGCAGAGACATTTTCACCCACATTTACAAAACATATAAAGTCTCTCCAGATCCAAACCCTAACCCTAACCCATTTTTAAACAGACCTTTTGCATCAGTTTTCATGCAAGATACATCAAAACACAGGTGTATATATACTGGGACATACTTGATAATCTGATGATATAATCAAAATGTTCCTGGTGTGATGGTGACAAGGTGTTAAAAGTGATTTCATCACACATAAAGCCCTTTAAGTCACAAAATAGCTCACAATGATAAAATGGAGACTTTCACTGTCTTTCAGTCC